CAAAAATTTAGGGAGGTCAATAATTAGTTTAGCTTTCGCTAAAAAAGCGGCCTCCAAAAAATGTATCCAAAACTTAAGTGTGGCGCAATAGTGAGACAAAGGAGTTACATTTACACATACCTTGGTTTTTCCCAAGTATTGCGCCGAGCTATATATCAAACTTGAAACATGAAATCAATATTTTTTTTTCTATTTTATAGTAATTTAATAGAAATAATACTAAATACATTTTTATTTATTTTTTATTTATACAAAGACAAGCTTAAATCTAAAATTATGTTTTATTTTGAGAAACATTGTGTAGATTTAATTTAAATGTTTTTAAAAAATAATAGTTAAGCTTAAGCATAAAACAAAAACTATAAAATACTGTGTAGAACACTATAGTTAAAAACTAACAATACTAACTATATAAAATAAATCAAGGTAACAAATTAATTTCGTTATAAATACACTAAGTGACATAAATACTTTAACCGCTAGATTTKAAAATTAAATTATACAAAGAAATTTTTCCGTCTTGATTTTGTATTTGCAAAATCGTTGATAATTTTATCAATAGCGATATTAATTGTTTRCTCTCGCTCTATATTTAATACTGYTAAGCTGCTTAGATGATCTTGACTGCAGGTGTTTCTCGAATAGTTTTTCATCAATTTGAGCTTTGGGAAGGAACGTTCGGCGAATCCCACTGTCACTGGTATACACATAAATATGATACAAGCACTTAAAATATCAGGAAAACTGCTAGGCAAACCATTACTTATGATAAACTGCACTATTGATAATTACTGTTTTCAATGCAAAAAGTTGACGTGCGAAACCCRATGTAATATCATTTTCATACTTCAATACAAAATCATATGAAGATTTTATTACCTACCTATATCGCTATCGTTAAGTTTTAGTGGTTGGTTGGTGTTAAAAATCCAAATAAATCAGCAACATATGTCAACATCAGCAWTGGTTCAGGAGTGAAGGTTTCGATATTATATCTGACTTGTCTGCAGTGCTCGAATTGGGAGGGGGGCGCATGGGAACTCAGCTCCTATACTACCTTTTGATTTTAAATAGCGTTCCCATACAAAGTTTTCCTATAAGAACGCACGGGTACGCCGGTATTAAATGCCAATGAATATTTTTATTTTGTATTTATTCAGTCTTATAAAATATTAAATAGGTACTGTAAAAATAAAATAAGCTCGTAAGTGTTGGAGAATTTTATTTTATTTAATACATTATTATTATTTTTAAATATTATCCCTATATTATTATTAATCCTTTTCTTTCAATTTCCCAATTCGAACACTGCTTGTCTGATGTTGTGTCATTCAATGTTATAATAGGCTCTACTTGTTAGCATCACTACAATAATAATTAAATTTACAGATTGTTAGTAATATATAGCAATTGATTTTTCCTTAAACATAATTTTTAGTGAAATTCCGAGGAGTAAAACCAATATATATATATTATACATATATATATATATATAATTGCTTTGGCGAGTCGCGGTGATGGAGACGCCTACTACGGGTGATGCATTCGATTTCAGGTTTCCGTCTGCTACGAGAAGACGCCACCTGACTGGTCGAAGCTGCAGATTTTGGCCGGCTGAAGCGAGCGTACAGCAGTCAAGCCACGATCCGTCGGGACGCCGTTGTAGTTTGGCTATTTTCTATTAGAACTAAAGCTCAGATGCAAGTTTTAGTGCACGCGAGTTTGTCTGTAATCCGACGGTGTGACGGAAGAGACCCGCTTGAACAGGTGCGATTAAGCCCAAGCGCTGCTCAATGCGGAAGCAGACGAAGCGATTCGTTCGACGCTTATGTTTTGTTGCGTTCGATATATAAGCATGGCCTTGACATCGCGGACTACAATGGCGCTGGTTTTCACGGTAGTCCGGTCGCAAGTTGAGCAGCAATGTAGTTATGGGGGGGGGATGATGGGGATAGATCCCCAGAGCCTTTTTTTATGTTTAATGCATTGACTTATAGGTATACTGATATATAAGATTATTTGGTAATAAAATTACCCATATTATGTCATAAATTATAATCACGGATATATAATCTACTTATCCATCTTATATAAGATCGATTGAATGAATTAACCATGTTAGCTRTCAAAAAAATGTACACATTGACATAGAGGAAATAATTAACGATTTAGCTAAAAAACCAAGAAAATTGGATCTTATTTTATAAATTATAGTGTTRTACGTGTTTTCATTTTTTATTTTGAATTACGTATAATACACGTCATATTAAGCACAATATATTATTCTTAAAATTTCTATTGCTTATTTTATTTATGTTGGGGCGATAACAAACAAGAGTGGTGAGGAGATACTAAATTGTGTACGGCGGTAATAATGAATAAGTACTAATTGGCAATTTAACTGTGTTATAACATTATGTGTACTGTACACAGTGTACACATTATATTGTTATGTTTAAAAACTTAAAAGAACTGTTAGGGGGTGAAGGCCCCCCACTTTATGTTTATCCAATAAATTATATATCCCCCCCAGAACAAAATCATAACTACGCCACTGAAGTTGAGGTGTAGTGACGGAAAGTGATGCACCCAATAAATTACAAAGAAAAGAGAACACAAATTTCGTTATTTTATTGTTTGTATTTTAATTGTCGTCGTCGACTTAACAGAACAAAAAAACAAACGAAATGCCGTTCACAAACGGTACGGTGTATACCGCTGGAGGTAAAACAAAAAAAAAACTAAATAGAAAGTGAGGTGGAACGAGTGTCCAAGGCGAGGGTCGTCAAAGAGAGCGAGGTCGCGACCGCCTGCATGCGGCCGGTGTTTCTTCGGTACGATTTATCTTAGGCACACTATACGGCTCGGTGGGAAAGTCGACAGTGTCGCCTAAACCTAACCTCCCGTGGTGATGGTTGACAAAAGTGTAGACCGGACGTCACTACGGTAATTTGTGCTGGTTGCCGCTGGCCATCAGCCTGTAATATATACGTTGAATTGTTCATTTCGTGCAACGCTGTTAATTTTTTTGTTGGTGTTCCGCGTCTATAACCTGGCCATGTAAACGACTTACGCGATGATCGCGGCATATATTTCGGGTAGGTATTAACGCGTATCATACGCATTAATCGTTTGTACGAATCATCAATTTGTTGTCTATCCATATAGGTGTTATAAATACATAATAATGGTCACTTATTATGGCATTATTTCCAGCGGACATGCGCTATTACAGCACACATATCGGAGGCGTTCGTAACAATATTAACGTTACACAGATTWTATTGTTTATTTTTATTKACAATATATTATATTGATATTTTGCCGTAACGCGTATGACTTTAGTCGCCAGGTATACAATGACCTTTATAGTTAAAATATAATATATTTATTTATTTATAAATTTGGGCGATTTGCTTCCATTCATTTCCKAACCACTAATCCACAACATCAATGTAGATACCTACCTATAGACTTTATACGTATATTCTCATAATAATTTTAAATAGTAATTTTTTTCCGATCTGCGTTACTAAGATATTCTATTAGCAAAAATATGAGTTTTTATATACATCGATCTATATAGGCGAGATATCATGAAGACATGAAAAAATACATTCGGCTGTAATATTTTTGTAAAACAATTAAAAATAATAATTGTATCTTGTATGAAGTCTTATACCTTATACCTGCTTAAATATTTTCCTGATAATGATGCAAATTTCGTAAAAATATTAACTTTAAACAAAATTTTAACTAAGGTAGTGAAAAAATTACTAACAATTTTAATTTTTTTTTTCAATCAATGTAATCATCAGCTTAGTTATGTAAGGCTCATACCAGTTTGGYATTCCAAAATACGCTTTTTCTACATTATAATAAAAGTATAACATATTTGTAACATTAAAAACTATTTTGGATCACCATATACTAGTTTAAACTAATATTTTTATGGTTATTTTTTTGCCAAAATGTGGCCATCAACTGCTTAAATCTAATCTTTCCAAAGCTAGGTATTTCACGTTTTAACAAAGTTTCCAGAGGCTCCGTTGAGTGGGAGTTAACAGCGTATTTCAAGAAACTTTTTTATCTCACTTATTTTTTAACGTATATAGTTTATAATTTGTAATGTTTATTGTTTATATTATTGATTATTATGATAAAACTATATTAAAATTAATGATCACTATTGATGTAAGGACAAATACAAAAATAATATAAACATACTGCAAATACAAAATAGGTGCTTACCTATCTTTAAACATTATTTTACCTTATCATTTCAATATATTTGATTAGTTGTCTTACTTTTTCTCTAAGCATACGTTATGTTTTCCTAAGCCAGAGGAATTGGAACAGCATTAAAATATGAACCGTTCACAGAAATGTTTGAAAATGGAATTGAATTGGCGATAACATTACATACAACTCAGGGTTACAAATAAAACATATACAATATATTGATTAGATAGGTATGCATTAAAGTACCTAATGTAAATCAGTATTAAACATTTTTAACAAGAACATTTAAAATTAATGATACAATATCAATAATAATAATTTTTTAAGTACAAGTAACAATTCAATAATTCGTTTTGACTTTTGTTATAATTTATTTTGGATTCGGTTGCATTCAATGCATTCGTAGAGMACCACTACAAATTACTGACATTGGGGTATGATTAAATATAATATTATACCTCTGTCTATACGTCTATGATCTATACTCTATAGGTATATTAAACTAAATATATTTAATTGAATTAACTTAATCAATGATCATTTTGACATGGTTAATGTTTTTAACTAGCCCTCCGTGATAGTACCTACCTATTGTCTATTACATAATAATTTAATTWAATTAATATTTAATAACATTATTCTCAATTCTGCATTTTATATTTATTTTTTGGTACATCCATTTTATTATTTCGTATGCGACGATAACAGTGATAACACTAACAATCTGTGTGATAACGCCATGACGGAAATACAGAATAACGTCATGATATCATGTAAGTTTGAAGTTAATATTTTTAAATATCCGTACCTACTCAGTTGTAGCTATAAACATAAAAATTGTATTCATTCTTCAACTTTGCATCGCTCATCGCTTACACAAYCAGATTATAAACGACTTTAGTTCGGTTGACATTTCAAAATTCAAAAGTAATTAGTGCACTGTGACAAAATGGCTTGCAGAAATGTCAATGTTCACAATTTTTCAAAACTTGTTAGATATTTTTCACAAAAAACTACTGAACAAGGTAACTGTGACATCAGATATTGCTAATATTGGTGAATAATGATTTTAATTCAGTGATATAAATAATGATATAAGGTATACACCGATGTACCTAGCGTGACATTGCAGGCTGAAATATATGTTACCTTTGATTTAATGAAAATWGAAAATTTTAAAATACAATGTCAATATGATGAACTGAAGACCTTAATAAGACTTGTCTTTTTTAATTTTTAGAAACAAAAGTTGCTTCCAGAATGGGATTTTTAAAAGGTAAACCATTGTACTTAGATGCACAAGCCACAACCCCCCTGGTAAGTATTATTAATTTTAAAATTATTTTCAGGCATGGTTAGATAATATCTATATCATGGTTATTACCTACTACCTARTAAYTAAGAGGACGCTATACCCGCATATGTTGTTTTCATCTAACAAATGTAAGACATAGCAAAAACTATTTTGTGCAGTAAAGAGCYGARGAGGCTCCAGACTTTATTTAGAAACAAAATTTCTACTCCATAAAAAAGATAATTTTGGCTCTGAAATATTATTTATATTTTTAAACGTCAGAACTAAAAAAACATTGGATTTTGAAACTACCTATATGATCTTTTTTTATACAAGTGATATCAAAAAATTAAAAACAATATTTCATAGATAATTTCTCAACTATRTTATATTATCAATTTTAAGTCCTAGATTTTACTACAGCTCAAGTAGTACTATCCTACGCAAAACAGGTTTTGCTATGTTGAGCATTTTTACACAGACAATACATGYGGGTGTAATGTTGTCTTAAGGGAAAAGTATTCCTCATACTCCCCTATCTGTCAAAACTTGATATAAGTTTCTATAATTTTGTTTTTAGCTTCTGTTGTGAAATATTTTTATTATTTTCAGGATCCTAGAGTTTTGGATGCTATGATGCCCTACATGACACATAGTTATGGAAACCCACATTCTCGTACACATATGTATGGTTGGGAAAGTGAAGAAGCTGTGGAAACAGCTAGACAGGTATTTTATTTTCACTATACTTTAAATTAATTATWTTTTGATTATAATCTTGAGAATATTCTTAGCATATATCAGATTTGATAGGTGCTAATCCCAAAGAAATAATATTCACATCTGGAGCAACAGAATCTAATAATTTAGCCATTAAAGGAATTGCTCATTTTTATGGAGCTAAGAAACGACATATTATTACTACACAAACGGTTAGTATATCAACATCTTATTTATTTATTTTATATCAATCAATTAATTAAAATTTTGYCTGTGGAATAGGAACATAAATGTGTTTTAGATTCTTGTCGTGCTTTGGAAGGTGAAGGTTTTGAAATTACATATTTACCAGTTTGTTCAAAGGGTATAATTTCCCTTGATGAATTAGAATCTGCTATGCGCCCTGATACTGCACTTGTTTCTATAATGGCTGTAAATAATGAAATTGGAGTAAAACAGCCAATCAAAGAAATAGGTGAAAAGAATTTTAATGATAAAATGGCTTWAAAAAAATGTATAATTTAATTATTTTTATAGGAGCTTTATGCAAGTCAAAAAAAGTTTTTTTCCATACTGATGCAGCTCAAGCTGTTGGTAAAATTACTGTTGATGTTAATGATCAAAATATTGATCTTATGTCTATAAGTGGACATAAGTTATATGGACCAAAAGGTATGAAATGAAAAAAATTTTAATTTTATAAAAATATYGATATTTTTAAAATTCATTTTTGTAAAAAGGTATCGGAGCTTTGTTTGTTCGGCGTAAGCCAAGAGTACGTTTAGAACCTATTCAGAGTGGTGGTGGTCAAGAACGAGGTTTAAGGAGTGGAACGGTTCCAACACCAATAGTTGTAGGATTTGGCGAAGCATGTAGGATAGCTAAACAAGAAATGGAGGTCAATAAAATATTTGAATACAATTTATTTAATTTATATTATTATTTATTCTTTTATTTACTCATGACATTATAATCATATACATTATATTTTTTTTATTTAGTATGATCATGCTTGGATGATAAAACTTTCAAATTTACTCTTTGAAAAAATTACCAAGAATCTCCCAGAAGTTATTCGCAATGGTGATGATGTTCATACTTATCCAGGTTGTTTAAATTTATCGTTTGCATTTGTTGAGGGAGAATCCCTTCTTATGGCTCTCAAAGATATTGCTTTATCAAGTGGTAGTGCATGTACATCTGCATCTTTGGAGCCTTCATATGTATTACGTGCTATTGGAGCTGATGAAGACTTGGCACATTCTTCCATTAGGTAGTATGATTTGTCTACTCAATTTAGCCTTAACATTTTTTATGTAGTAATTATATGAGAATTCTTTGCTATTATGTATTTTTACAAAAAAATATACAGTAGAACCTCTCTAATCCATCACCTTCGGGACTGGGGTTGTGGTCGGAACGCGAAAAAGGTCAGATTATCAGAATATACAGAACATTTTTATTTACATATTACATACAAGATTATATTAGAAATTTATTATATTTTACAATACTTAGAAAAAAAGCCAGTTATAGATTTTTGTTTAGCAAATGATATTCTAGACTTAGCTAAGACTAATAAGGGAAATA